CGACAAAAATCCCAGAAAATATAAAAATATTGTTTTTCGTCAATATCGCACACCCCTTGATGGTCTTGATGATTTCCAGCTATTCACTCTTCCAGGGAAAGCCAACAGTAGAGACAAAAGAATAACCAAGTGCAAAGACTAGTTACCCTTTGTCGTTCAAGCGGATGGCTCACTAACAACATACGAGTGTCAAGATCTACTCTGTCATTCTTGTCCTTTTACGTTGTGGGAGGAAAATGATTGCACAGAAGCTGAACATTTACAGAGATTACGTAGAGTATATGTTATAGTTTTGGTACACGAACGGCAACGAAGCATGATAAAGCAGCTTGAACTCTTGCAGGAGGCTGAAACTAAGTCACTAAAGGCACAGTATTCCATGTCTGCGTTGGGTGCATACTGAACCAGAGAACGGCAAATGACCAGCGCTATGATTAGTCCCTATTAAAGCAGCTAAAATACATGAAATCTGTACAGGTCGCTGTCTGTGGTCTGTACGGATACAGCAGACGGCAGTCACGATTTAATCCAGCGAAGGAGTGAAGCAATTCAGCCGTCGTTCATCCACCGCGGCGTTGTTCCAAACCCATACGACTCTTCTGTGGAACACGAAATGACTGGTTTGTGTGCTGTATTTTAGTCTTCTGATGAAAATCCCTTTGGTTACGATGCTATTCGCAAATTTGCCGCAACATTGGAGATCTACGATGACTGGGGAAGGACTTCGGTAAATTAAACACTTAAATTTGGGCTGAGCATCATAAGACACCAGAAAACTTGGAATGTAGCGCATGGACTACTTTTTTGTCCTTTTTGGACCCATTCGCTTTCACTGTATGGAAAAGAACAGCAAAACAGGTTTGGAACAACAAGACTGAATACAGAACTGTCTTTGTTTGGGTGAAATAACCCTTCAAATCACGCATCACGTACGCTACATATCAGTTGCTTTTGTCTCAAACGAAACATTTCTGGACAGCTCACGTATGTGATCGCTGATGAGCGTGATGCTCGATTGATGATGCAGTCCAGGAGTGTACAGGTGGATATCAGTGCAGGCTGAGATCTTCAGAAGATCCAGACAAAGTTTACATCCACTTCAGAGCATATGCTGACTTACTTTTCTTTGGCATCATCATACAAAAGAAAAGAAAAGAAACTCAGTGTTTCATCATTACACTGTGAGAAGATCATCTCAAAACGTGACGTTTTGGCAAAGAAACCTTGTTGTTTGTGAATGTACAGGTTTAAGCTTTTCAGATGATTGCAATCACTTCTTCGCTATAACCCTGAGATAAACACCATGGGTTGATTCATTAGACGTCACAATCAGAGGGAAAACATTAGCAAAGCCTGAGGACACTTTGTAAGTGTGAATCCAATTTGACTGACGGACGCTGATTCATGAACAGCACTTTGCTAAAGCAGTATTAATGATTTTAGCATTGCTGGGTCGATGCTGTTTTCTAGGCACCTAGAATCTCTACGACCTCGACATCTACAAACAAGCTTGTGGACAAGCAGGTATTCGTTTCTGATTGCCATCGTTGTATTAAAACAATTAAACATGCTGATTATTCGTTTGATTTGGGGGCTACAGAAGGCACACTTTAATGAGAACGACAACGGTTCTTTCTGAACAAATGAACTGAAACAAGTGGGAAAGAAAGTGCCCGATATTAGTGAATCTCACAAAAAGATTTCTAGAAAAAAATTCAAAAATTCCAGAAAAAAGTCTAGACATTATAATTAGTTGTAACCGGAACTATCACAAGTGGTCCAATAGAGTTGCATGACCATTTTTAATTTTCTTTCTTTCTTTTTATTTTTTTTTTGTGATTATCTCCAGCTGTTGGTTTTGCAAAACCACCAATTTTTTATTTTCTTCGTTTAATCAGGGTGGCTGTCTTTGTGTCATGGCGCACAACGAATTTCGGGTCATATAGATATTTATGGAAACCTCAGTATCTTGGCTCAAGATGATCCTGAAGCTCCTTGAATCAAAAACTGATCTCAAATGCATATTTTAAGATACATAAACATGAGCATTCCTTAGAATTAAAATGTAAGTTCAAATGCAAGCAGCAATTAATGGGCCAAGCACAACAGAGGCAGAATGAGGAGCAAGCATGGCAGGGAGGATCAGACCAAACGCTACAATGAGTAATTAAAGACATTTTAAGGCGATTTTACACAAACTGGCTGAAAAATCATAAATTCAATCATTACTAATATGATTTAATGGCTTATCAATTTTGATCGATAGGTGGTGCTGTTACCAAATTGATGTGGTGTGGTCAGTGTGAGGTGACAATGTCACACATAAATTTGGTGTCAGTATGTCAAAGCTTTGCAGAGATACAGTCTCAGATGCAGTTTGGCATCAAATTCGTTGGTGCGTTAAACGAAAACCATTTTATCTATCGACACGAAATTCATAAATTTTTGCCATTATGGTCTGAGGATGATCTGAGCCAAATTTGGTGAAAATCGGACCAACGGTCTAAGTGAAGTTTGAAAAAGTAGGTTTTCAACAAATCAAAATGGCGGACAGGAAGTTCAGCCAATTATGGCATAATTGGAAAAGACGTTCTATCAAGGAATCTATCAAGATAAGTCTCATGACAATAGGCAAAATTAACCAAAAGCTATTAATTTTTTAAAATTTCATTATAATGTTTGCCACAAAACATTTTGAGTACCTTCAGGGAATTGTGTCGAAGACACATACCACGTTTTATAACAATACACCAATGCATTCGAAAAATATAACATTTTTTGTCAAAATTCGAAATGGCAGATGCCCAAAATTGCCGACATGGAATATTGGGTACGATATGACTCGTCATGCTGCTCTGAATGTAAAGAGACCAGTCTTGTGATTTTTCAAGATACTGAGGTTTCCATAAACGACCCAAAATTTTTTGTGCGCCATGACACACACAAACATGACCACAGTGATTAAACGAAGTAAAATAAAAAGTACAAAACTGGTGTCTTGCGATACCAATAGATAGAGGCAATCACTCAACTTCGGGACCACTCAAGATGGATTGACCAAATGTCAAAAATGTGCTCAATTATCACACGGCTCTTAAAACAGGCTTCATGTTCGTGAGATTCACCCATGATGCAAGCTGATCTGGCATGTAAGAATTACGCTCAAGTGCCCGTGTGATTCTGGTACGTCTAGGCTCCGTAAAAGCGAATGAGGCGGTGGATACGACAGGTACATGTGTGCTACATTCCCCGACGGCTATTTGTGCTTATTTGTGTCATATTTTCTCTGTACATCATTTTATAGTAGCCGCATCCTCTGGAGACACACGACAGACGTATTCATATAAAACAAACAACCTGAACAGACGTCATAATGCCCACGTCATCGTCCCTGTTCCAGGACAGAGCCTATTGCTTCCCAAGACGACACCTCCGACAGTGCTCATTTAGACTTTTTCATTTTTTCTTGTTTGTCAAGCACAAATGGTTATGGTTGCATAAATGTAGGCGACGGACTACCATACTCTGACACATAAAGCGAGAAAAGAACACGCGCCTTTACATCTGAAGGTCTAGAAACGGGAGAGAGACTGCGTCTCCTACAGCAACACCGCTGCATCCAAAAATGGTTTTAGGAGGCAAGCACACTTCTCCGCACTACCTCCTCCTTCCCAGGGATTTGTTTGGTTTTGTCAACTCTAAACTTACTCTGAAACTCAACTAGCTTCATGCAACAGGCCACAGTAAACGGTATGTAGGACCAGGGTTGGAACTGAAGTCTGCTTCTACTCCTCGTGAAGATGATGCACCAATACAAAAAAAAGTACTGAGATGAGCGCTGTTGCAGACTTCAGCTTTCGGTGTCATCATCACTCATATTTGACAGCTGTATTATGTCAATTTGACCAGCAAAACATTTTTGAGTTGCTGGAAATACTTGTTAACCTAGGATGTTTTTATTTTTGAAATTGTGTGACTATTTCTCATTTAGATATTTAATGGTTAAAGTCAGGTGCACAGACCCAAAAAAACAAAAAACAAAAAGTCCGTTTCTCAACTAACCATTGAGGGTATTTACATTCATGCATTTAGCAGTTATTATTAAAAAAAAAGTATTATGAAGAATGAAGAAATGTTTATCAGTTTATGCATGTAATTTTTTTTTCATATATTTTTCAATATTTTTTAAAATACTGTTTATAATATTCACACTCTGTGAAAAACAATTTAAAAAACAGTTCTTAAATAGTTACAAAAAAGTCTTTGTTCTCATGTATGTTTACTGTTTATATCTGATTTATATATATACACTGCTGTTCAAACGTTTGGGATCAGTAAGATATTAAATGTTTTTTAAAGAAGTCTCTTCTGCTCATCAAGGCTGCATTTATTTGATCTAAAATACAGAAAAATAGTGTATTGTGAAATATTACAATTTAAATAATTGTTTTCTATTTGAATATATTGTAAAATGTAATGTATTCCTGTGATGCGCAGCTGTATTTACAGCATCATTCCTCCAGTCTTCAGTGTCACATGATCTTCAGAAATCAGTATAATATGCTGCTTTATTATCAATTCTGGAAACAGTTGTGCCAGTTATTTTTTTGGAACCTGTGATACTTTTTTCAGGATTCTTTGATGAATAAAAAGTTAAAAAGAACAGCATTTATTATATATTATCCTTTTTTAACAGCACAAGTCTTCTTTATCACCTTTTATCAATTTAACAAATCCTTGCTTAATAAAAGTATTAATTTGTTTCTCAAAAAAGAAAAAGAAAAAAAAATGCACCGACCCCAAATTTTGAACAGTATAGTGTAGATTGTTAGAAAAGATTTCTATTTTAAATAAATGCTGTTCTTTTTAACTTTTTATTTGGAACATAAACAGCCGAATCCAGAGTTTTAACATAATACAACGGCTGAGCGTGTTCATTTGAGCAGAGTGAGTTACTATAACAATATTATTAACATTTTATTATTACACATAACATAATACAAACATATAATACCTTTAGAGAACATGTGGAATATTTCTACATTTTCCTCCACTTCAAACTCTTTTGTACAGACGATGAAACCGAACACATCATTCAGTTACTTACCCAGCTGTGAGAATACAGAGCTGTCATCTGATCTCCATTTGTCTTTCTTGTCTGGACTACTCTTTCTTCTTCCTTTCACTCGTTCCCTGACTCCATTGCGATGAATCTTCTCCCCTCTCCGAGTTTTTTCTATAACGCACAGAATATAAGAGCATGCAAAACACTTAAAACGAGCAATTAAACACCTTGCAGCTGTCAGCCAAATTTGAATTTTTCACTTAAATATTTCAAATTTTATTCAGTGCTTTTCAAAGCTGTCCTGAGACATTATTAGCTGTACTGAGACTCATTAGTGGAGACTCCGAGACGTGACACATGCGATATGTGCAGTGTCTCCAGCACAGCTTTAGGAAGCACTGAGTTTGAGGAAAAGATCAGCGAACACTAGAATTTAAATCAACAGTGCACAAAAGTGCAAGACATAAATCTAAACCAGACAGCACCTCGTTTACTGCATTTATTGTTTACTACAAACCTGGCTGTTAACAAGTGCATTTCAAATCATCCTTTAAATTTAGTATTTCATGTCATATTCATTCATTTCAGACCATTTTAATCGGATTAAAATGGTATCTAATTTTAGTCTACAAAATTGTTAGTTGATGAAACAAACCAAATTTACACCAAATGTTACAACATTTTATGTATTAATTTAAACATCAACATTTGCAGTAACAAAACTCTGATCTCCTGAATTCATGACTATTCTGAAATACAGTTTTGTGGATTCTTTATATTTTAGTTACTCATTTTTCCAATGCATTTTTACAGAAAGAGCACATTGTTAAGTTGTTGCAACTTATATCAGTGAGAAACCTTTAATGTCGACTGACAGTTTTTATTGTCAGGAAATTCAGAATATATTTAGGTATGATTTCCAGTTTTAACAGCCACAATAATTTCAGTTATATGATACTAATGCAGATATTTTTGAGTATTGTTCGCAATATTTCAACATGAGCACTTACTGGACTGAAGTAGCTTTGATTTAAGTGATTATCCAGACATTAAAAACCATATGTTCATCCGGCTTTTGAGGAATGTTTATTTAATCATCTCTCAATCATCATTGTATTGCATTATGTTTTAGAACTTTGATCAGAAAACCAAGCATATCTTATAAGACATTTATGAGTCATGTTATTGGGAGCTATTTATATGATTACATTGCAAATTATCAGAATTTGATCTTAATTTTGGTTCATATAAACATCAGCAACTGCAACAAATTGCATGTTTTTGCTCAGTTTGAGTCTTTGAATAAAACTCAGCAGTATCATGATAATCTGCAAAATATTGTTTTTTTTTATACAACTATTTTGTCTGAAGTTTTCATTTCAAAAATACACTTTTCTAGCCATTACGGTATTTCATATGTCAGACATGATCTGGAATCATTATAGCGGAGCTCACTTAAAGCTATTACAGCTCAAAAGCATTTTTTTTTTATTCTTCACCGTGAAGGCTATATTTTTTAATCAAGATCCCAAAAACCCACAAATGAGAAAATGTCACATATCAGGCTGCAATCAGCCACTTAATGTCATGCAAAGCTTCTATACATCACTGTAGTAAATCTCAGTTGTGGATAGTTGCTCGCATGTGATGTCAAGAGGGTTTGGCTGTACGTAATAAGGTCCAGATTAACCTTAAACGGTCTTGTTGAGGGTCGAGGTCTGCGCTGATGAGGCTCGCAGGCCTGGCGGTCGCATGCCAATCTGTGTGTTTTTTTGGAAGTCAGAATAAATATGGGTCTTAACAGCAGATGACAGAAAGCCAGCAAGTAGAGAAAAGTGCAGAGTCAGAGATTCAGGAATAATGAACACTGCAAAGAGGGATCCGACCGAATGCAGCTCCTTCATACAGCACTGTGTGAGAAGCGGGTCAATAGCGACCCTGGAAGCACAAACAAAAACGATAAGGTCTCATGAATGCAGATCACTCCGTCATCCCATGACTTTTTTTGTTTTAAGCTTTAGAATCTTGTTTATTTTCACCAAAAGAGCTATTAGATTTATTTGATAAATTGCAATCCAACATGAACGAACCTAGCATTAAAACCAACTGTATGTCATAATATCAAAATGAACACATTATCTCACAATTCAAATCATTTCTCCCGATTCCCTGAATCTTTTCACAATATTAAGTATAGTAGAAGGTGAAAGACCTAAATTCTTTGCAATCTTGCATTGAGAAAAGTTTTTTTTTGTTCGGCACAAAGTGGTTGCAAACACTGAGACGGAGACTTTGGTGGATGCTTCTTTTTTTTAATGATGATTTTGATCATGATGCCCTAAAGTATTATCAAATGCACCTGCTTATTGTGAAAGGTTTCAAAACAGTGTAGCTTACATATTCTATAATCTTTTCACTTTTATTTTGCCTCTATCCCAACTTTTTGACGTTTTTTCCTTTTTCTTTTACCAGTTAAATGAAGGTTAAAGGTGGGGTAAGCGATTTTTCAAAAACGCTTTAGAAAAAGAGAATTAACAAACCACAGATTCTTGTTTTTATTGCAATTTACAAAATCTTCCAAGTCTTTTGGAAATGGGGCTGTATTATACACAAGTCTCATCTACGCAGGTTTGAGCTATTTTGTCGAACTGTACAATAGTTTCACAGGATTTGTACCGGAGCTCTTCACCGTACAAGTGCAACGCCATATCACGAGCAAACCTACTGCATTAGAAAACCCATACATATGTGACTCTAACGTTCAAAAGTAGCAGTTTTCAAATCTCACAGCATGTTAACATCTTTTTGAAGTCAGAACATAATATTGTGCGAAAATTAGGCTTTCTTAATGGAAACTCTGGTCCTGTAAATCATGATTTGTGTGAAAAATAATCAAATTGAGTTTTACTGCCGCTAGTGTTCATTTCAACTGGATACTGCAGCAATCCGTACGTATAGGTACTTTTTTGAGTTTTGCAGAAATGTAGGGTAGAGGCACGTATTTCCATTGAGCCCGAGTAGGTTGCAAACATATGCCTACAATATCAATTGGGCAAACCAACAACAAAGGCCACAAGCAGCCAAACAAATTTCAATAGCTGATAACTTAAGCTGTCAATCATTATGTAATTTGGCTGATGTGCACAAGGTATGGATCAAAGAATCGGCCAAAAGGTGCCGCTAAAATAAGTTGGGCCGATATATATTTGGAAGTGGCCCATTTATTGGCCTGTATATTGTGAAATCAATACCCTTGATGTACATGTGCTGTGTCCGAAATTACCCCCTATATCCTGAGTGGACAGCCATTTGGAGTGGTGTCCAAAACCAAAGTAGACATTGAGTGCACTCATTTAATTCCATAATGCACCGCAATAGCAGAGTGTGCTAAAAACGTTGAATGTGCTTCAGTTTCAGTTTGGCAGTTTTGGTCATTTTCTCCCATGATCCCTATAATAATAATAATGCTTGGACATCAACAATGAATGTTTGTGGCTATATTTTATTTTTAATTTGATAGATTTTCCCGGTTTAAACAAACACAAATCTAACATCATATCAAACAACACAGCCAAAGTATAGAAAATGAAACTGATCAGATATGTAGTTTGAGCACCTTCTTTCACTGACCAGTTGTTTAAAATAGAAAAAGAAATTTTTTTGAAGGGTCCCCAGATAGCAAGCAACCATTGAAACAATGTTAAGTCCATGTTGATGCGTCAACACTAACTGCATTGAATTAATGTTGCAAAGTGGTGTTGGTTCAGTATCACTTTTGCACCCGCAATCAATATTGAAAAAAGTTGAGATTTCAAAAGGAAAAAGAAAAACATCATTCATCAAAGTTGTCCTAAGACAAGAACGGGTATTGTTCTGATTTTAGGACAACTTTGATGAAAGGTTTTGATCCACTTCAAATGTTGACTACTGTATTTTTACTTCATTACTGTACTTAAGTACATTTTTCAAGTAACTGTACTTTATCAGAGTAATTTTATTTTGAGAAAATTTTACTTTTACTTCACTTTATTCCAAAGCATAACAGGGCTCCAGACTGCAACCATTTTTTCTGCAGTGCGACAACATTTTGCGAGCGGTCGCTGCGAGATCTAATGAGAAACATATTCTAAAACATAAACAGATCAAACAGCAAACCAGAAGTAGTTACGCTAACTATAACCATGGTGTTGGGGCAGAAATAGTCAAATGTTATTGCATTATTCATTTCAGGGTTTGTATAACCTTTTGAGAGTAATTCAAGCACTTTTCAATGCCTTTCAAGTATTTCACACAAATATTTCCAGCACTTTAAAGCTCTAAAAATATCCAATTTAAATTATATTGACAAAATATACTTTGTTGTAAGCAAAGCACTTATTGGCTTATTAGACATTAATTTCCATTTTATTGCTTTATATTTTGATATTATAAAATCACTATTATAAAACATCAAATCTTGTCAAAGTTTTGAACTTTTTTGTGTATGAAGTAAAAACAGTCACAAAGTGCCTTGAAAAACAAACTTTTCTTCAATTTCCGACATAAAGCAAGTAAAGAGCGCTTCTTTTATAATCACTGAAGTTACAATACTATAGAACAATAATGGTACATTAAATAAGAGTAGAATATATTAATTTTTCATATGAAATTAGATTTTGCACGTTACTATTGTTAATAAAAGTACATTTTGTATGCTTCTCAACTATAGCTCTGTGCTTTACTGTCAAATGTGCATTACCAAGAAATAAACGTGTAATATTATTAGTAACTGCACTTGTTAATGCAAAACAATAGTAATTTTATGATGAAGTTTATCCTTATTTTTAATATCCCCACACACCACCCCACCAGTGCTACCAAATCTGCTTCTGGCGCCACCATCTGTAGAACTTAGTAGCGCTGGTGCTACTGCTCTCAGATGTCAGTCTGGAGCCCTGCATAATATCCTACTTTTTACTCCACTACATTTCTTAAAACATGTCATTCCTCGTTTAATGCTGAGGGGGACACTAGCTTACAAGCCTACAAAGGACTGGACTAGCAAGGACGCTGCCTCTGTAGGATGAAACCTTGCATTTGAGAAACACCCAACAACTCGCTGATTCAAATGATTCGGTCAGAGCGAGCCTCTGTTAACAATTCAGTGAATTCACAAGTCTGACTCCAAATGAGCCAAGAACGGGAGATCCTCTGAGCTTGAGTGCTTCTGTACTCTGTAGAAAAACATGGATTTTTACATGTCTACTTCAAATTTCTTTTGAGAGAAGTATTATTTTTGTGGAGTGGTCATTATTTAGCGCTATAAACACATGTAATGTCGGTTTCATTCATACTGGAAGCCAGAGGGCGCCCTTGCGCAGAAACGCCACATATGCATCACAGAAGTAATAGAACTCATGACGCTCTAGGATAAAGGTATCCAGCGACAGCTGTAGCTGACTTAAAAGTAGAAACGTTTTGAATGAGGAAACATGAAGACAATAAATACTCATCTACGACAATATATTTATCGGTGTTCTTCAAGCCATCTCGGGTATTTTCATAATAATAATCCATTGCTAATAGACTTTTTAAAGTTAGAATATATTTTCTGCCTCATTCTGTGATAAGAAGCCATATCAGATCAAAATAGGAACTTATTTCAAACATTCGACTGATGCAAAAACATGTTCCCTTTCGAACGGTCTCTCCCGTTGCATTGCATGCCTATGAGGAACTTCGGTTTACTCTGATATTGAAGCCTGATTTGTTAACGTTCGTGTAGTTGCACAAACAAATGGCACTTCAGCCGCCAAACGGGGTGGAGCCGACTGCTATATAAGTCTGCTAAGAGCGCCATTCGTCAGAATTTTTCTCCTTCAGAGCGAAGATCATCTCCTTGCTAGACTTTGAAGCAAGAAGCTCTAAGCCTTCCCGCTGCTGGGGAAGAGCCCCGGCAGTGGGAAGATGCTGGAGTCACGGGGCTAAGCAACCGGGCTTGAGTGATGTCACGCCAGCACAGGTCCCGCGTGCTTCACTCTCCCCGCAGCACTTCAATCCGCGTGCGTGTTTTACACATGAAGATCAAGCCCCCCCAACCCAACTCCCCATCTGCAACGAACAATCAGATTTTATTAGGTGGATCAGATCTCGGCTTAGAAATGCCCGCAGCCACTTAGAAGAACGATACCCACTAGGCCGTTGTCAACAAACCTCCCGCCAGAAACCGGCCCCGTTTTTTCCAGAAGTTCACGATAAACTTACCATGGCGTGGCGCTCCCCCTACTCTGCACACGTCGACTCTCCTAATTCTGCTGCCCTTACCTTTGTTGATGGCACTGAAAAAAAGGTATATGTCAAGCTCCCCCCTCTGGAGGAGGCGGTCGCTGCACATCTCTTCCTGACTTACGGCCCGTCACTTAAGACCGTTCACCTTTTGGCTTTAACTTCGGTCAAGAGAGTGGGTGACCAGCAAGCACTGTCAGTCAGTGCTTCATGCCTTGAGTTTGGGCCTAATGACTGTAGAGTCGTCCCCAAACCAAGACATGACTATGTGCCTAAAGTGCTCTCCACTCTGTTCAGAGCACAAGTCATTACCCTTCTAGCTCTTCCAAATTCAGAGGATGAGCAGGGTCCCAATCCACTCTGCCCGGTTCCGGCACACAAAGCAGCTCTTTGTATGCTTTGGAGGCCACTCTAAAGGGCTGCCAGTCAGAGACTGTCTCACTGGATAGTTGACGCTATAGCCCTGGTTTATGCCTCAGCGGGCCTGCGGTGTCTTATCGGAGTGAGGGCCCACTCCACCAGAGGAATGGCCTCCTCCTGGGCTTGGTCCAGCAGTGTTTCAATTGGTGATATATGTGTGGCAGCTGGCTGGTCTTCGCCATCTACCAGATTTTATAACCTAGACGTACCTGCCCTTCAGGCATGGATTTTGTCTGCTTAATTTACCTAATCCCCTAGATTAGTGAAGAAAGTCTTATGTAGACCCCAGCATGTTGGCTTGGATCTCATATTTGACTCATGCTTTTTAGGAGCCCTCACTATGGGCGCTCCGGGCTGGGCTTGCAGAGCGGCTTCGTTCTGCACTTGCTTATAGCATGGCGCTTTTGGATGTGTTCCCCATAAGTGTACAACGCAAAAGGAGAGACTGTTCGAAAGGGAATGCTCCGGTTACTATCAAAACTTCGGTTCCCTGAGATGCACATTGTAAGTAGGAAGGCGTTTGCTCATATCAGTGCGTAGACTCATGGTACACACAAACAGAGGCACAAAACTTGAGAGAAATAAAACGCATAAAAAAGCAAATTTTTTAAACAAAACCAAAAAGAAAACCCCCCCGCAATTTGTGTACTGAACCATGGATGTCGTACCAAACAGTTGTTCACAATATTATACAGTGAATTGTGGCATCCCTAAAAAAAAAATTATAATATATATATATATATATATATATATATATATCAGGACATAAAGCACAGGATAGCATCAAATCCCAGGTCAGGTGATCATGCTGTCAACTACAACTCAACGCATAATTAGTGTCACCATTATGAGGAGGGTGCTTCCCATTTCTTGGATTCTCCATCCTCATCTGCCTTTACTTCTACTAAAGGAAAGAACGCAAGCTGCTCTGCAAGCATTGAGTATAGATAGGGATGCACAAACGTTCTTCAGTCTTGTTCTCATGAGAGCACCTGGAAGTTTGGTTTGGTGCTCACACTGTACAAAGTGTGACCCATTAAATAGATAAATTAATAATAATATTGTTGCACTTTAGTTCATTTTTTAAAAGAATAAAGTGCAATAATACTATTATATTTGAAAAAAAAAAATGAGTGAAAAAATAAAAATAATAATACATATAAATAAAAATACAATTATTTCATAGTACACTTAAAAATACAATGCTACGTTTTAATTTTTTTTCCTTTTTTATATGAATTTGAATTACTTTCAAAGCTAAAGTCATCAAGCTTTTATTTTGGTGGGTTGCCAGCAAGTATTTGCACTGTTGGAAGCGCGTCAGTGAATGAAGTGTCACAGTTTTGCGTTTGCTCTGAAACTGCCAGTGTGTAGCCTAGATTTATGCTTTCAGTTGGAATGGAAATCTTATACAGTATTACAGAAACTCTTTTCTAAAATGGTGATTGTACATTAACAGCTGTCAACCATGTTTGTACGCAAATGAGTGGCTTGAACTTATTTACCCAGCACATTTTTTATTTTGGTCGTGCATTGCCAGTTTCGCTCTTGTGCCATGAGTAAAAACTGGCACTGATCAAAATGGCAAAAGAAAAACACAAGAGACTGTTGCAGAGAGTTTTCATACCTCCAACTAGGTCCTTCTCTAAGAGCTGAATCTGCAAGGTAAAGATCTTCTCCTGCAGGTCGCATAAAGAGTGTTTGATCTTCTCTCTGCGTGTGACCATGTAGCACAAGTTTCTGACCTGAAAGAAAACACACCATTTACATTTAAATTACGAACTGAAATAGCTATGGTTAAGTGTTAGCATGGTTCTGTGTAGGGCTATGCTGTAAAACCATACCAACCGTTCCATATGACTTGGTTTGTTACTGTGGAATATATTCATTGATCTTGATTCAATATAATACACAGAATTATGCCCATTCATAAGAGAAAATTATTATTGATTAATTGACTGTGTATGTAACATTAGATACAACGCATTTTAGTACCAGATTAAAGTCGACCTGAAATCAAAATTGACTAATTACTTTCTCAATCTACATACCAGGGGCCTCATATACAATGACTTGCCTACAATGACCCCAAATACAATCATAATTTCTTACATGTTTCTACAAATAATTTATAATTTGTCATGCATCACGCTTTATAAATCTTAGATCACATGCACATGAGTGAGAGCAACTACACCCACAGACGCCTTTATACGGTATGACAGAATGCAATTGCCTTCCTATTTACAGTGCTTAGCAACCAACCTAGCTACGCATCTAACCATTTAGTCTCCAGTGCGGCAACCTGTTGTCAGGTTCTCAGAGGATGGAAAAAAAAGAGTTGGATGGAATGGATGATTGGATGGACTGAATGGTTGGATGGATAAACGGACAGAATAGTTGGGTGGATGAATGTTGGGATGAAATGGATGGATGGAATGGTTGGATGGATAAACGGACAGAATGGTCGGATGGGATAGTTGAAAAGAATGGATGAATGGTTGGATAGAATGGATGGAATATATGGATGGATGGTTGAATAAAATGGTTGAAAGGAATGGATGGATGGATGGAGGGACAGACAGAATGACTGAAATGGATGGATGGAATGGTTGGTTGGTTGGATGGATGAATGAATGAATGAATAACTGGATGGATGGATGGATGGAATGGTTGGTTGGATGGATGGATGGATGGACAGAATGGTCCGATGGGATGGTTGAAAACAATTGATGAACAGAATTGTTGGATAGAATGGATGGATGGCTGGATGGACAGACAAAATAGTTGGATGGATGAACGGTTGGATGAAATGGATGGATGTAATGGTTGGATGGATGGATAGATAAATGATAGATTGACGGACAGAATAGTTCCATAAAATGGATGGAATATATGGATGGATGGTTGAACGGAATGGATGGAGGGATTGACAGAATGATTGGATGGATGGATGGATGGATAGTTCTTTGACATAACAGCTCAAGATGATCATCAGTGAAATATTAAGACTTCAAGTATTTCTGTGGTGTCATCAGTCAATCAGCTGCTTTTCCATTTTATCATAACTTTTACAAAACGTTGTTTACATATAAGCTTTACATAAGCCAGGGATGACGGGAAATGTGGTTCTGTTGCACAATCCTGTCATAACCCATAAAATCATGTAAACAGCAAACAGTAGGATATAACAGTACAAAAGTCCTCCTGAAATAAAGGGCCCTTTTGATTTTCTCTTCTCAGAAAAACACTAAATAGCAACAAAGCTCATCACAGCTACTTTTCTTTTTACTTTACAAAGAAGTACTTTTCCTTATCCATGACCTGATTGCATGTAACAGCGAAAGATCACACTTAAAGGAGTTAGGACTGTATCAATAGTGTCAAACGCAAATTTCCGTCCACAATCAAATATGCATATACATTCGTTTGTTCACAGTTTGAATGATTTCCTTTCATTTATTTTCAAGATCTGAAATAAATGATCCACCGTCTCGTTTTTCATTATGGCTATTAAAGTCATGCTCAACAATATTTAAACTAAACTTAAACCTTTATGACATTACAAAGCACATAATGAATAGCTGAGACCATCACGGTCACTGGACACCTAATTTTTGTGACGTCGCATCAATAGAAATTGTTTCAAAAGTAGAGTCCCCTGTCGGTTGTCACTTATTTACGTTGTGGCAAGTTAGAACAAAAACTCTTTGCAGAATTTCGTGGTCCATTGTCTATGGTCAATAGTGTAGTAATGTATAAAGCTCAAATAAAAAAAAGTAACTTTTAAAACAAGTAGCTTTTTGTTTGTCAGCACGGCGAACTTGTGTGACCAACTTGAACCCATTACGAAATCTGCATGGATCGCATGGTTTCCTTTTGAAAAGACTGGATTTTGCCCTTGAAAATTCACTGAGCATTGGTAAATCTGACCACACCTCAATATGGAAATGATACCATTTATCGTGGCATCACAGCAAGTCTGGTTAAGACACAGTGCAAGTGATGTCAGAATTGTGTCAACATTATTTAAGACTCGCTCTGTGGCTCTGGCAGGAATACCGGTTTTCCTAAATAACGTTCAGGAAACCCGTTTGAAACAATCTGCTATACTCACCCTCTCGAGATCCTGACGCAAATGAGTGAAGAGCTTCAGACGGCGATACAAAACGTCCTGCTCCTGCTGGGCGAGATTGTCCACCTCTTCCCTCTTGCGGGTCACCAGCGGCTGGTTGAAGTTGGCCTTTCGTCGCAGCTTCCAGTACTGGAAGAGGAAGTCCACATGAACATCGGGCAGGGAAAGGCTTTCTGCAACATCCTTGGGGTCCACTAATCTGTAAAACTCATCTTCAAGCTCTTGCAGCTTCTTCTTGCGTTGGCTGGCTTTCTCGCGTTCTGCTTGTTCCTGCTTCGAACGATCCGAATGCGTCACTGACAGATCGGAACCAGCGAGCCGCAGTTCGGGCCTGTCCGCATTCCCGCCGCTGCTCGAGCGTGAGATGCTACTGTGCTCTAGACAGTATGATTTGAAACGCACCTCGTCGTTCTCTGCTAGAGTGGTGCGCATCTCTAGTCCGTGGTCGAACGCACAGGTCACGTGGAAGGCCACGATGCAGGATGGCATGGAGCACTGTGTGAGCAGAACAACATGTTTAGAGCGCTAGAATGGCTCACATTCTGTGCTGGGCAGTAACTGATTACTTGTAATCTGGATTCCAGAAATTAAGTACTTGTAGTTAGATTATATTACATTTTAAAATAATTGTAATCAGACTAGGGTAAATTTTGTATTGGTTACATGATACATTTTTACGATGCAATTAAATATTAGCATTTCATTAAATTCACAATCCCCCTGCAATTCCTTCATGAACCCCAGTTTGGGAAACCTTGACGTAATGTATTGTTTAATGCACGTCATGTTTTTAATAACGACGAATGGAATATATTTTCTTTGTCTTTGTATTGTTATACCAATATGGTACAAGATTATCTTATTTAAATCAATGTGATAAATCAGTTCTATCAAAAGTAATCTAAAAGTAGTCTGATTGGGTTGCCTAAAATGTGTAGTGTAACAGATTACGTTACCAACTTCAATTTTTGTCATGTAATTTGGAATCAGTAACGGACTACAATTTGTAAGTAATCTACCCAGCACTGGTCATCCCTTACCTCACCCTCATGTCCTTCCAAAATTATACACAAAATGAAAAATTGAGGAATTGCATTGTTAGCTCTTTTCCACACAGTAACAACAAACAGGGATTGAAGCTTTTAAACATTAAAAAGGATGAAAAATCTCCATACAAATATCATAATAGCACAACTTGCTATACTGCAATACTCTTCCCTAAGACTTATCAAGACACACAACCAATTTTTCATTATTCACGAGAAAATTGTGACATTCGCCCTAGCTCTCCAATGTAACATCATCAATGAATTCGTGATCAGATGAAAGTAGATCCTGTTCATAAATCCAGTCTGAAATTATTTGTTCATGAATCTCTAGTTCAGCTCACTAACTAAATCTTTTGCTGATTTTCAGTCAATAATAAAAGCCATTACGTCTCTTTGTATAGACTGCTTCTATCTCGCTCTCTCTCTCTTTGCGTGTGAGAAACACAGCACTCTCAGCAAAGCGACGGCGAGTCGTGCTCCTTCAAACTAGAGTTTACGGTGCGTCAAATTCAGGTGTGCTGCGCATCCATTGAGATAAACTGAAAAACATCAGAGAGAAACTCTGAAGCGCTCAGTCAGAGTGAAAATATATCTGTGCTAAACTTACACTTAGCCTCCAACTCAGACACTGGCGAGCAAAATCTAAGAATTTATTAGCCAAAGGCTAACGATAGACATCATTTAGTCCCCCAGAGTGAAGATTTAGTCGCTACTCGCATTGTAGAGGGTTGTGAAGATGCTGCAAACATTAATATTATGATTTTCTGTAAAGCTGCCTTGAAATAATGCATATTGTAAAAAATAGATTTTGACTAGACTTTATGAAGTAGCCCATCCTTTCTTACTAAAAGCATTAAACTATTCTGCTCTTTAAATGAGTCGAGTGTTCAAAAGCAGCATGTCTCTCACCTGTATACATGTGCCTGTGTGTTCACGGCACAGGCCACAGGACAAAGCCCAGCGACTGGCTGGGATGTGGGATACTTTAGTAATAGGCTCCATCTTCTCAGGGCAGCCAATGCTCACCTTTGATGACATGGAAACAACACAAGTCAGAAAACACCCAGTTAACACATCGAAAAGTACTATAAGTGATCGGATTAGGGATGGCTGCAGGTGAGTCAACAAGTGAGTAAAGCTAAATTTCCTGATCTGGTTCTGAGGGCATAATGACAAAACATTCTTAAGAATACATTTTTCTTAACTGATATTTTCTTCTTATTTTCTACTACCCACAAATGAATGCAGTGGATCACTCCATCTTGAGACAGTCTCATTAAAAGTACCCATTAAAAAAAACACAGCGCATTAAAAATGCAATGCTGAGTGATGAACACCCGTCAAGCTGGTCACAATTAAATAGTGTGCACACTTAATATGATTATTTTGGTAATCTGAAAAAATGGAAGTGTTTTTCATAGAGCTCAGGGCTTGAATTTTGGCATGGGATTGTGGGTATTGCACATAATTCTACACTTTAGTTTAGGGACCAATTCTCACTATTAACTAGTTGCTTATTATCATGCCTATTAGTAACATATTGGCTGTTTATTAGTATTTATAAAGCACATATTCTGCATGAGCATATTCTACATCCCTAATCCGACCCAATACCTAAACTTAACAACTACCTTACTAACTATTAATAAGCAGCAAATTAGGAGTTTATTGAGAGAAAAGTCATAGTTAATGGTTTGTTAATAGCAAGAACTGGACCTTAAAATAAAGTGTGCCCAAATTGAGTTATGTTTCGCGCCTTATTGCGCATAAACGGCCAAATACATACAAAATTATGTCAAAATGCCCATCAACACGAATTCACGTAATCAGTGTGTTTATATTAAACACAGTCGGTATAAAGGCTATTTTCAGTGAATGTAAACAGTTGAGAAGCAAAACGCACGTGTAACGGTTTATTAGATCTGTGTGTGAGCTCTTAAAGAGACAGCAGCCTAAATAAACCTGCTGCTTCGGTGTCATAAATATTTATTTTTACAGTGAAGACTATCCAGTGTTACTTTACATTTGAATAGATTACCCAATTTCTGTAGTACTTCTGTACCTGAATATTACAGCAAAGCAGTTAATTTCATTTGTATCTTGCTATAGTATTTGTTTGTGCGATTGCTTGTCATTAACTTGTTCTTTTTTTATTACTGACTGTTTACTTTAGTTTTTTTTAGTTAAAATAAATGAAGTTTGAAATCAAAGTTCCTTGAGCTGTGTGTAAGCTATTGTGCAAAAAACAATTTGTTATTAAGTATAATTAAGTATACTCCTAACAATGTAAATTTGAGTCAACACAATTATAAACTGTGAAACACAAATACACTGAGTGATGAAACATTTAGGTTAGATGATCATTTAAAACGAGTCTTCAGCAAGAACTGCCATTCATTCAGTCAGATAACGCAGAAGACTGTCAAAAAATAAGATGTACGTAAGAACATAGTTGAGAACTTCTAAAGAATATTTCAAGAATTGCACTTAGGAGCATTGTTATGAACTTCTTGGTATTTATCTTTTCATTTTCTTAAGGTGATTTGCAAGCTCTAAATTCAATTCAATTTGATTCCTAATTTCAGGAAAAAATATTTCAGTTATAACGAATGTTTAAATAAATACATAATCATTTTTTACGTTGTATGTATATAATGACTGTAAAAATGCTTTAATTAGTTAGCAGTACGTTCCCTTGCTATTTGAGGCGAAAAACTGTAATCTGATATTTAATGCAATTTTATTGCAAAGTCATCTTATAATTTACAATAATACAAATATAAATCAATATGTTAACGGTACAAAACAGATTTTAGAAATATGCTAATTCAGCAGAAAAGGGTTGTTGGGAGTCACTGGTGCGTGTTTTTTGTTACTAAATAAAAGTACAACTAAATAAACTAAATAAAAGTACAAAATAAACTGTTTAGTTAGTCTAGGGGTACGATTTACACACTGAATGGAGAGGTAATATTGTAGCAATTATTCTAAAAAAAATAAATAAATAGAAAACATACTGATTTAGTATATTATCATTAATACCCAGAATGGTCACACTTTAGTTTGGGGAGCAATTCTCACCATTAACTAACTATTAACTATGACTTTTGCCTCCGTAAACTCCTAATATGCTGCTTATTAAAGGTTAGTAAGGTAGTTGTTAAGTTTATTTGCTCATGCAGAATAAGACATTAATATTAGCTTTATAAGTACTAATAAACAGCTAATATGTTAGTAATATGCATGATAATAAGCAACTAATTAATAGCGAGAATTGGTCCTTAAAATAAAGTGTTACCCTACACTGTACAAAAAATGCAACTGCATATTTTCCAATTTACGAAACCTTTTGAGTATTTTCTTGAAACTTCATAAAAACCATTTGAATTACCCCAAATGTTGTACCTACTAATCAAGTTGTCTGAACAAAGAATTTAATATTGCTGAAATGTTAAGGCTTTGTGAGAGTTCCCAGCATGCATTGCAGGCAGCATAAATAAATTATGCAGTTACTGTTATAGGATTATTGCTGATATTTGCGGTCTTCATTGAAACTTTTTTGTTGTGGTTTTGTCTAGGGTTGCAAAAAGGTGGACATTTTCCGCCCTCCTTGTTTACCTTCTTATCCTGTGTATGCTTTACATTTCCGGTCTCGAGTGTTTCTAGTCAAATTAACATTTTCAGAGCTGATAATATAACGTTAAAGCTATGAAAATGGTTTTAAAAATGGTTTTACAGTGTCGCCATGGCTGTCTTTTTGGGGGATTTTGTCCACAAAATGATAAGAGCACACATTATTTTATTATTTCACTCACAGTATTTTAACTTGGGCGCCGCAAGCCATGCTCGTTTCTCTTGTCATCGTTTATGGAAGGCATACAGCGCCGGACATGACAGATTTGCTGGTGCGCAAAACAAGTACTTTACAGGAATTCCTTGAGCTTATTGCTGTTACTGTGACAGCCAACAACAGTAACAACACATTTTTATACTTAGTTATACTAA